TATACTCTTAATTTTGACAAAAAAAATTTATTTTTATTATTTATTATTATTTTTTAGAATCAAATTTTAATCAATAGAAATTTTTAAAAAAATTATACAATTTAAACAAATTAAATTATATAATTTTAACCATTAAATACAAAAACCTCTTTATATTATTGGGGGCTCTCTTTCTCCTTCCAATAGTTTCAATATAATTTAAACTGTTTTTACAAGGAAATAAAAAACAAATATGCCCATTGTTAATGAAGAATGATTTTTTTTTTTTTTTGTAAAGTTTAAATTTGAGAGAAAAAAATCATGGGTTCGATATTAATGTGAAAGAGATGAATATTAGTATTGGAAGAAGAGGTTGCAAAGATTGTAGGGCAAACAAAGAATTTCAACTTTATTTGTAAAATAGCAAACCATAATGCATGATCAAGGAACTTCAGACCGTGAGAAAAATAAACACCTCAAAACCCCAGCCACCCAAAAAAGAATAGTGTCCCAATCAAGAAATTGCATCATTAAACAAACCTATAGGGTAGACATCATCGCTATATATAAGCACGTCTCAATCCAAAATTTCCACACAATTCAATCTCAAACAAAAACACAAGAAGAAACAAACAGAAATGGCTAGGAGACAATCAATTGCTGGATCTATTGCTCCTATTTACGAGGATTTCCAGCCCAAATCAGAATGGAAGGAAGAACAAGGAGCTCATCTTCTATCTGTTCATCTTCCTGGTTTGTTTATCATTCCCGTATCTTGCTTGTTCTAACTTCTTTGACATTCATGGATATGATATATATGGGTTTATGAGCACTAATTCATTGTTTGGGTATGTAGATTTTTCCAAGGAGCAGGTTCGGGTTATTTATGTTGACTCCACGCGTACCGTTAGAGTTCAAGGAGAAAGGCCACTTGGGACCAACAAATGGAGTCGATTCAATCGGACCTTCGATGTTCCACAAAATTGTTCCACGCAAAAACTTCATGGCAAGTTTCACGAAGGAATTCTGACCATCATTATCCCAAAACAGATCACCGAGCCACCGCAGCCTGCCGCTGTTCGTAAACAAGAAGGACCAAAGATTACACCTAAAGAAAAAGAATCCCCTTCAGTTCCAGCTCCTCCCCCGAAAGAACCGTCTCCTTCAAAAGAACCTTCTCCAATAGCGGCACCTCCTCCAAAGGTACCCTCTTTAGTAACCCCGCCTGCTTCAAAGGTACCCTCTTTAGCAACGGCTCCTCCTTCAAAAAAACCGTCTCCAGTTGCGGCGCCTCCTCCAAAAGAACCTTCTCCGGTGGCGGCGCCTCCTCCTCCTCCTCCTCCTCCAAAAGTACCCTCTCCAGTAACGGCGCCTCCTTCAAAACCAGCTGCCCCTGCTCCGCTTCCACAAGGAGAAAGTACAGGAAAAGACCAGGAAACTTCGCCTGCTTTTCAAACCCCACAAAAATCCATAAGAGAGCCAAACGGTCCGGAGCAGGGAGATACCTCCACGAGAGCAACTTCAAAGCAGAGCACTGAGAAGGAGGATTCACAAACTAAGGATAAGGAGAGAAAGGTTGGCGCTCCTTCAAACGCTCCACATGATTCCAAACCCCTGAAACAAGATGAAACCCCTCCCCCGTTTGAAACTAGATTCATCCAAACGGCTAAGAAAATGAAGAGCGTGGCTTGGGCGACGATGAAGACTGCATTGGAGAAGAGGGAAGATCGGCATTTGATCGTTAATGTGGGTGTGGCGGTTTTGGTGCTTGTGGCAGTTGGGGCTTATGTCACCTACAAAATTCGATCATCTGCAAAACCAAAAAATTAATTTATTTTATGATGTCAAACATTAAAAAAAAAAAAATTCCGAAATGTTGCGGAGGAAGTATAGTTGATCTTTTTACACTGAAAAATACAGTTTCTTTGAATATTGAAAGATGATTCCTTATGAGATGTTGATAAGAATGAGATTCTATATTTTTCATTCGGTTGGTTAATTATTATTATTATTTATTATTTTTTTGTGTGTGCATTCAAAGAGCATCAAAACAAGTCTCAAAGACTGCCTTAATAGAACTTCAAAAGATCTCAAAGAACTCTCCAAAAGCACTCTCAAAATTTGGTGTCGACACTCAACACAAACTTGACAAACTTTTAGCGCATGTGTCACCTATTAGGACACTTAACCGTGTCCGGTTTTGGGATTTTCTTCAACTTTTTTATTTAGTGATTAGAGTATCTTCGACCACATAAATATTTTAGTAGTAACCTCCTTTCATTAAAAATAAGAGCCATTAAGTTCGAGTTGCATGACATTAGGTGAGATGAGATCAAAGATTAAAAAAGATTACCTTCTATTATATAACTAACATAAAAAAAGGTGATAAAATTATCTGAATTGATTTGAGTATATTTCAAAATAAATTTTTCTTTATAAAATCACATTAAAACCATATATAATTTCTGCACTTGGGTTTTGTGACTCGATGATTCAAAATCATATTAAAGTGCATTCCTCAACTCTCGTTTTGAGTTGGAATCTTCTCTCTCAATATAGTCCGTTTAACAAGCAAAAAAACCATATATAATTTCTTCAATGGTAAACTAGCACGGTTCTTTGACTTCTACTTTATAACCGTTTTGGTCATTAAAACTTCAAATATATTCATTTAGTTCCTAATTCGAGTAATTTTAACTTTTTTTTCTTGTAATATAATCCCTAAACTTTTAAAATATTTGTACTTAAGTCCTAATATGTCTATCATTATGCATTTAAGTCTTTTTTCACAAACAATGAAAATCAAGTAAAATCCAAATAAAACCAACCTAAAATCATTCAAATAATTATTAAAATCAAAGGCTAAAATAATAATATGAATTATCTAGAAATTAATCTCATCATGTAGCATGACAATGATATTCTTCCCCTTTTCCCCCTCTTCACATCATATCTTCCTTCTCATTCATGTAGAACATTCACGTTCCTTGCCTTTTTGGACAGATTTTCAGGCTAGCTACTTTCTTCTGGCTTACTCTTCAACAAGGTATGACCAATCCTTGTGAAGAAGGGCAGCCAAAGAAAAAACTTCTTGTTTATCTCTGAAACAAGTTATCCCATTTGGGACAACGGCAGCTATAAAAAAATCATGCCTCAAAGGAACAAAAAGGAATAGCTTTCTGCATAACTAACCTAACCCAACATCAAAACTCCATTTTAAAAGGCTCCCTCACTTATAATCTTATAGACAAAACAAAATATTAGCCCAAAAATGGCTATGAGTTTGAGACCTATTCGTCCTCAGCAACCTGCACGAACCCTGTCTCGGAATTTCAAGCCTCAAACGGACTGGAGGGAAGAAGAAAAGGCTACCATTTTACTCGTTTATCTTCCTGGTACTTTATATACTTGTTTTGTTTCTATCTAGGTTTAAGGTTTACGATTTACGGTTTTGGAACGTATCATCATATCATCAATTGTTCTGTAGGTTTTGTGAGGGAGCAAGTAAGGACAACCTATGATGAGTCCCAACGCTCCATTAGACTACAGGGAGAGCAAAGGCTCCCCAACAACAGAATGAGGCGTGTAGATGAGAGATACACTGTTCCAGAAAGTTGTGAGGGAAGTCAAATGGAAGCAGAGTTTGGTCGTGGAATTCTCACGGTCACGTTGCCCAAGACCAAACCAGCGCCAGAACCAAAACCAAAGGCACCAATGCCTCAAGAAACTTCTGGTGACCTGAGGACTCGTAAGGGTGAAGAAGAGATGGTATCTGCAACTCCTGTTGAGAAGCAGAGGGGTGGTGATATTAATGTTGATGTTGCAATCCCAGGAAAAACCACAAGCGAGATGAAATCTCTGTCTCAGACTGCTGGAGAAGAAACCTCTTCGAAAACAACTTCGAGCACCAAAGAAACAGAGCAAGCTGTTTCAACATCTGATTCAAAGAAGCAAATTGATGAAAGGAATGTAAGGGAAGAGTCCGGTAAGAAGAAAGAAAAGGATGAAACGGAAAAGCCTGTGAAAATTATAGAGTCGGTTCAGGGGAAGGAAAGGGAAATTGAAGAATCTGCAGTTCCCGAAATTGTTGTATCAGAAGTTGAAGAGAAGGAGAAAGAAAAGATTATTGAAATACCGGAGAAAGATTCTAAGTATGCAAAAGTGAAGGGAGATGTTGTATCAAAAGCTGAAGAGAAGGAAAAGGAAAAGATCATTGAATTATCTGGCAATGATTCTAAGGATGCTAAAGTGGAGATTGCTGTTTCAAAATCTAAAGAGAAGGAGAAGGAAAAGATTACTGAAATATCTAGCACTGATTCTAAGGATGCAAAAGTGGAGATTGTTGTTTCAAAATCTGAAGAGAAGGAGAAGGAAAAGATTAATTATATACCTGGCAATGATTCTAAGGATGCAAAAGCAAAGGAGACGGCTGTTTCAGAAGCTGAAGAGAAAGAGAAGAGTGCTGAAAAATCCGGTGACTCAGGTGATGCTGCTGCATCTGCCAAGTTAAGTCTGAATAATCATGGGAATCCGTTAGTTAATACAACTGTGGCAACCATAGTGATTCTGGGACTTGGTGCATATTACTTTTACTCTTTTAGGACATAATCTATAGCTTCAGAAATCTAATATACTTTCAAAATCAGCATCAATACAGAGACAATTTATTATTTATATGGACTTGAAAGAGTTCAAATTTATTCGGTAATTCTTCACATTATTATAACTCACAAACATGTGTTATGCAGAAAATTAGCATGTTTTTCTCATAAAAAAAAGAAAAAGAAAAATAGCTTGTTTAGAATCTCCACCAAGGCTTATTTACCTACTTCAATCTCCTGGACAAAATCGACCCATTCAGCTTTCCGTCAGAATAATCACAGTGCCACTCACATATGCAATACTTGATCGCTGGAGATCTCAAAAGTTATTTTGTCATTGTTATTGTCATAAATTCCCTTGTTTGGGGATGAGATGCATTCATCATATCCAGTAGAATTTACCACAACTAAGTTGTGATCTTCCTTGGAGTAGTTATTGAAATTTACGATGAGCTTTTATGGTTAATTTTTCTTTTTCTTTTTCTTTTTAAAAAAGAGCACATGCTAGCGTTATATTACCACTTTTACACCCTCAAGGTAACAATTTAAACTTATATTTCCTCTTTTCTATCTTTTTAGTTTTATATAAATTTGAATCATTTATTTTAATATATCAAAAATTAATAAATTATCTTATCAAATACAAAATATATCGGTATAGTAGAGATCTCATATTAAGAATTTTGAAAGTGAACCAATAAATTAAACTTGGTTGTGTTATAGATTCCTCCATTAACTTGAGAAAGTTACTAAGGAACAAAATTTATGAAGATTAAAGGAAAAGATTGTTATTTTGTAGTTTTAATTATATTAAATTATAAAATATAAATTTTTAGATTTTAAAAAAGTGCCTCATATTAAAAAGATTATTTTTTATATTTAATATATATTTTATAATTTAATACAATTTTTTTATCTTGATTACACAATAGAAAATAATTATCTTTCATCGTTTATCTTACCCCACTTGTATACTATGCAAATCAAACTCATAATCTCTTACTTTCAACGGAAAGAGATAACCACTAAATTATTTAGATCGTTAACTATAATTTAATATAATTTAAATTACAAAATAAATGTATCAGATGTAATTACCATTATCTATTGGGCTAGGGTGTGGGTTAGGCTTAGGGTTACCTAGAAGAGATGAGTTCGTGGGTGAGGATAGAGACGGGACAATGAAAAACAGAGTAAAGAGAGGGAGTAATGGTGGAAGAGACGAAACTTGAAAATAAAAGTTTGTAATTAATGATGTGATTTATATTATATAATTAAAAAATTAATACATATAATATTAGAGTTTTAAAAAGATAAAAAAATAATTATTAAAGAATATATTAATTTTAAAATTTAATCCCTCCTTCCCTCAAAATTTCTATGTTAAAAAAAAAAAACTTATTAATTATAATTTTACATTTGGTCTATTAATTTTAAGGTTTTTCACCATTTTTATTCCTCAACCTTCTATGCACTTTTTTTTTTTGTCCCTTATCTATGAAAAATGTATTTTTTAATATTTTCGTCAATTAATTTGTTAAGTTTGTGTAAATATGTAAATTTTTAATCTTTCAATTTTAAGTTGAGAGACAAAAAATATATATATTAAAAATTAAGGGACTGAAAATATGTAAATTCATATAAATTTAATAAATTAACTAACAAAATGACTAAAAAATTACATTTTTCATAATTAAGAGATAAAAAAATGCATAAAAAAGTTAAAAAATAAAAATTATACAAAATTTCAAAGTTAAGAGACAAAAATTAGCATTTAACCTATTAAGAATTTAACTTGAGTTATTTCTTGGTCCAAATTAGTGAAAATTTGGCCAACCCGGTAATTCTTTAGATATTTTGAGTAATTGTTTTATTTAAAAAATACTTTAAAATAGATAAGTGATATATTTTTATCAAAAAAAAAAAAAAAGTAAAAACTTACAAATAACCTAAAAGAATCATGTAAAGGTTGTTATCAGACGTCTCTTTACTCATTTTTCCTCATTCATTCAAATCATTCTCACTTATTCTCATTTAGATTCATCTTCTTTCTCTAGCTTTTCACTCACACACGCAAGTAGTTTCTCACTATGGATCCATATCTTACGCTGAGTGTTAGAATATCAGGCAATCTTTGCAGGGCTTCGTAGGTAAGGGAAGAGATGATGTCTTAGAACTTCTTCTATGCTGAAGTCTAACTCTGATCTCTAGTTAAGCTCTAATGCCTACCTGTTTTGCAAGTGTTTGGTGATCACCTTTCTATTTTGCAGGAGTCCAACAATCACCTTCACTCAACCTTTCATGATTCCATTAAAAATTTAACAGTCATCTTTTAGTGTTAACAATAATATTATAATTATATTATTTCCATTTAATGAAATATTTTTCCATCCTCTCTACTTCCCTCAAACTAAGCAAATTTGGCTACCCACCAGCACAACCACAAAATCCCCAAAAACCAAGCTAAAGCCCTACCCATATTCCTCACTCCTCGACTCCCTCCCCCTTCCCAATACTTGCAAAAAAGAAGAAAAACAATAAAATCAGACCATGGAGACATCAATTTATTGAGTGATTTTCTGTTCTCTTGCATTGGAAATGCAGGAAGACAAAAGAAATTGAGCATTTCAACATGCAAAAAACCTTTCTTTTTCAGTGTATAGTTTTGAACATCATCTGAAATTAAAATCCCGGTTGTAGTGAACAAGTACAAGATTCAGCATTTCCTCTAACTTCTTTTCACTTTACTAAAAGTAGTCAAGCCAACCAAGAACATTGAAGACATACAGTAAAACAAACCCACAAACAAGTGTTATTAAAACCTCAAAATGGGAAAGTGAGTGACAGAGAAATCTTACATGTGAAAGCAGAAATGAGGGCCTTGTAGCTAGTACGGTAATGGGGTGTGATATGATACTATAAAGATGATGGTAAAGTTGAGAGCTTTCAAGGAAAGAAAAATGAATCCTATCCAATGGAAGACAAACAAATACTGCGTCCGCTAAAATGGCTAAGTAGGCGGTTTCTTTCCATGTAATGAGAAACACTAACGCAGTGTGAGCATATATTCAGTGGATTTTTGAGAAAGTGGGGTGGTGGGGGACTTTTTGAAGGAATAGATGATTAATGCCACTTTCTTAGTTGGCTCCAAAAAAAAAAAAAAGAAGAAAAAAACACTTTCTTTGAGTAGTGTTTTCGGCCTTTTGGGCTGGGGCTACTGTTCCATTTCGACAGTTCGACCCAATAATGGAATATCCGGTTGAAAAGCCCAAGTTTAATTGAGGTGGTATTTTTTATTATAATTATTTTTATATATTTATATTTTATTTGGAATCAAATTTTATTCAATAAAAAGTAAAAAAACAAATTACACAGTTTGGAATAGGTCAAATTGCACAACTTTAATTATTAAATGGGAGTGAATGTCTTGATTTTGGAGTTTTTGAATCAATCGAACAGTTTCAACAATATGCCAATTGTTAATAATAATATATTTTTTTTGTAGAGTTTAAATTTGAGACAAGATCATAAGTTCGATATTAATGTGAAATGGATGAAAATGAGTATTGGAAGAAGAGGTTGCAAGGATTATAAGGCACACAAAGAATTTCAACTTTATTTGTACAAGAAGTAAACCATTACGCATGATCAAGGAACTTCATACATAAAATAACCAACCCCTCAAAACCCCAGCCACCAAAAAAAGAATACTGTCCCTATCAAGAAATTGCATTATTAAACAAACCAATAACGTAAGACATCCCCATTTATATATATATAAACACGTCTCAATCCAATTTAACCACAATTCAAAGAAAAACACAAGAAAGAAACAAACAGAAATGGCTAGGAGACAAGCAAATGCTGGACCTTCGTCTATTTCTGGTTATGAGGATTTCTTGCCACAATCAGAGACGAAGGAAGAACAAGAAGCTCATCTTCTATCTATTCATCTTCCTGGTTTGTTTATCATTCCCATATCTTGCTTGTTCTAACTTCTCTGGTATTCATGGATATATCATATATGGGTATATGAGCACTAATTCATTGTTTGGGTTTGTAGATTTTTCCAGGGAGCAGTTTCGGGTTACTTACATTGACTCCACGCGTACCATTAGAGTTCAAGGAGAAAGGCCACTTGGGAAAGACAAATGGAGTCGATTCAATCGGACCTTTTTTGTTCCAGAAAATTGCTCTGTGGACAAAATTCAAGGCAGGTTTCACGAAGGAATTCTAACCATCACTATCCCAAAACAGACCATCACGCCACTGCAGCCTACCGCCTCTCCTAAACAAGAAGGACCAAAGATTACACCTAAACAAAGAGAACCCTCTTCAGCTCTAGCTCCTCCTCCGAAAGTACCCTCTCCAGTAGCGGCGCCTCCTCCAAAAGAACCCTCTCCAGCAG